TTCCATGTTTTTTTCGGAAAAAAAAAACTCAAACCTCGTAATCAACTCCATATGCACCCTTGTAATTTTGTTTATTTCATTATTTCCACCACCACCACTATTGTCTCTTGTAAACACAAATCCACTAAATCAAAAAGAGCCATGATGAACTCTAAATTACATAGAAAAATAAGAATATATTAGTTAACAATACATTCAAATAACATCAAATCCTTTACATACCTACAACAGTTAGCTCATAGGATATGAATTTGGTTCTGAAAGTTTAAGTGGATTCTATCTGCTATTTAGCAAAATTAAAAGAAATACAAAACTAGAAAAACCAATCGACATAAACCAGAGTACCAAACCTCAAGCAAGAAACATGTAACGGTAAAGAAGATGTGAAGTCAAATCAACTAAACACCCTCAAGAAACAAAAAAATCTTGAAATTTTAGACCCATCGGTATTGATGAGAAAAAAAAGGGTGAAATTGAGAATCATCAAAAGCCTTTTATGGAAGAAACCAAGAGAAAGAAGATACACAAGATGCATCAAACTTTCTTTAAGGCATTTCATCGAGCACATGATATGCATACTTTCAGTTCTTCAATGATCTCACGAATATTAAACATCAATAACAAAAAATTCAATCCTGACAAGTTAGAGGTTTAATACTTCACTAAATATTAGTAGTAAAAATGATATACGAAATAAACATAAGAAATTGAAGAAACCATAGCCAAAAACATAAATGCCTTGATTTAATTGATTCACAACAGTATGTTCACGTCTTAATCTCTTTCTGATGTTCATCGACATTTCAGTTAAAACATATATAAAACTCAGAAGGCCCAAAATCACAAAATAATACCCAAGGAAGCAATGAAAATTGAGGAAAAAATCGAAACACATACTACCGATACAAATCAAAATAGAAAAGGGAAAACTCAGAAGACCTAATCACCAATCTTTGTATGTGGAGGCTTCAAAAACGTAGCACAGCAATCTATCGTTTAAAAAAAATTGACTTCGAATTATATCTATTCTGACCTTTAATTTTGGAATGGATTGCTATGATTACTGATTTAAAGAATTTGTTTGTTGATTCATTGGATTGACACAATCAATTTAAATTTTAGAATCTGGAACATACGATTCAAGTTGAGTAGGCGGGAAAAAATTATCAATTATCAACATTAAATTATCGTTATAGTCAATGCAACAAATCAGGAAGAAAATACTATCAATTAGCTGGACGAATTTGAATATGCAAGAACTAAATAAATTAAGAAATTCACTTAGAAAAAAAGGGAGCTCCAAAGATGCCACCTGGCAAAAGTAGATTAGAAGTTGTAAGAGTTTGACACGTGACAGTAGAAGATTCAACCTATTTATTTATTAGAAAGGGAGATATATATAATATTAGGTTATTATGTTCTAACTATTGATTGTGTGCAGGTAGGATTGATTGTGCACCAATCATTTTAGTTATTTTAAGAAAGTAATTAATGCATACTATAAGTTGAAAATATAATGAGTATTAATTAAATCTTTAGTATTTAATATGCATTAATTACTTTCTTAAAATAACTAAAATGATTGGTCCACAATCAATCTTACATACACACAATAGATAGTAGAAACATTTGAATCTAACTTTCTTTCTCTCTCTCTCTCTCTCTCTATATATATATATATATATATATATATATATATATATATATATATATATTTCATTTCTTTTCAAGCCGAAAACATAAAATACAATTTCCTTTTTTTTCTTTCTCTTCTTTTTCTCCTCACTTTCTTTCCTTTTTTTTTCTTTTCTTTGCTAAAACTGTGAAACAAGGTCAAGCCTAGGGGCAATAAACACCATTTATTCCAACCAATCAAGTGCAAATTTGCTCTAAACTTCACCCAGGAAAAGACCATCACCGATGTTTGCATCTTTATTCTTTCCAAACATGCTTTTGTCTTATTAAAGACAACATTGTTCATTGCTCATAGTATATTTCAGAGAGTCGTCATTGCAATATACTCCCTCCGTCCCAAAATTATAGTTCATCTTTCTTTTTTGGTTTGTCCTAAAATAATAGTCTACTTTTAAAAATAAATAACATTTTTACCAAAATACCCCCTCATTATTACTTAACCAACTAAGCATTTAGTGGAACATTAAATACAAAGTAAGGACAAAACAGTCATTTTATTATATAAAGTGTTTTCGTCACCTTTTTCCGATTTGCCTTGTATTGTCACCGTAATGAAGATGGTTTCGATGTTGCTGATATTATGTGTTCCAAGACCACATCATTTGTGTATTGTTTTCCATACGATGATCGTTAAAGAGTAGTTCAGGAAAACACATATATTTATGTATTTTGTTTTTTCTAGAGTAGCAAAATTAAGATGAGATTATTTAATATTATTAATAATTATATTTAATTTCATGAGACCAAAACCACTAAATATACGGCTCCTATTGTGGCGGTAATATAATGCACCACATGCTTTTGGCATAAATTTATCACCAAGTTTTAAAACCTATTATAACATACTACGATGGAGTAATTATTTAATAACTATGATATTAATTAGGCATGTATCAAAACGGAAACCGTTGTTGGTGGTAGACGTTTCCTTATTAATTAAGGTTTTGAAGTTTACTATTGGATGAATGTAACATAAATAAATTTGATTAGCATAAAAATTATGAACTTAAACTGTTGTTAAATAATTAGATGGCATTCTATTATAAAAATATTTCTGACTTATAAATATAGTATTTTTACATGGTTTGGTTGTCAATTTTGTCCCTATCCAAATTAAAATGACTATTTCGCCTATTTGATATCTACTTTACAATTTCTTTTATTTAGTTTACATTTCAAAATATTAAGAAATAAAAATTAGGCTTCTACCCAACACTCTTCTCCCTATTGAATCCTTACGTTATGAGATTTAAACGATTGCCTCCACCATCACTCCTTAACTCAACTCGCCAACCACTGACACCTCATGCATAGTCACTGACGGACCACCTCCACCATCTTTCCTCAACCCTCTCTTCATCTTCAACATGAGAAACCTACACTGCCACCATCATTAACAACACATGAGGAGCCTCCACTGATCCCGCCATCTCAGCTATCGCATTCGGTAACTTTCATCTTAGATATCTATCTATACATTGATCATCCAACACACACCATCCACTCACCTCCCAAACCAACACTAGGAACCCTTATCCATGTCACCATCACTACCGATCTCAGACTCAAATGCAACATTAACAAGAGGATCGACAAATGGAGCTATTGTGGGTTTTATTTGCAACATTTTTATGTTTAAGTCAAATAAACGAATATGAATCGTTGTTTTTAAGAGATAAAAAGCAAGCTCATTAAAAAACATGCAATACTTGTAAGATCTAGAAGAACATCAATTTGGTCCAAACATCGATTTGGTGGTAACGGATGTATTTTAGATTTTGTCTGTGTGTTCCTAAATACAAATATTCGATGTGGTATAACGTAAGACACTAAAAAACTTTTTTTTTCTAATATTTTGGTCTTTACTAACACTAAAAAATTACCTAATTTAACTACATTCCTAATATTAATGTGTAACATTCCAGACATGTTCTTTGTGTTTCAGAGTAGTTCTTTGTATTTTAGCCTAGCAATTTTAGAAAATTAAACAAGTAGAAGCATATGAGTCAATAACTCACCCATAAAGTCTCATCCAAATCACATGTCATATCTTCTTTGTCCATATAGTCCTATAATGATAATGATATTTCATTATGCATTCTGGAATAAGTAAAATAATGATGTATGTCGTACTCCAATCAATCAGAATGGATCAGGCCAATAACATCAATCCGGAATTGTCTATTCCAGAAAAAATCATTTTTCAAAAATAAAATAAAATCAAACTGATTATTTTTTTTAATAAACAATGCAAAAATATTTAGATTACTCAATTTCCTATAAATAAATACCTGATTTTTATTCGGCCAATCAACCAACCCGATAACTTCAAATATCAACCCGATATTTTGATAAAGAAATAATAAACGATATCTCGTATGTGGGACCCACAATTCGCAGTCATGATCTTTCTTTTCCCCGCCCCCCTCGTCTCTCTCTCTCTCTCTCTCTCTCTCAAGTCTCAACAAATCGCAGATCATCTCGCACACAAACATTAAACCCATAAACCACTCTTTCAAGACGTTGCTTCTACGATCCCTTTCGTGAAATAGAGTTCTTGATCCAAAAAATAACCCTTAATTCAACGCCATTTATGTTATACCTCCGTTTTTTCTTCGCTTCGTTGTTAAGCTAATGCAAAAAGTAATTGAAACAGAAAAGGTATGCTGTAAGTTAACCGATTGTTCAGTTTCATCTGTTTTGGAATTCTTTTTATCTTTTGGTTATTGGGATTAAATGCAGTGGGAGAGATAGGAAGAGACATCAAACACGTTTTCTGTTAACTGGTCCTATTTCTTGTTACCTTAATTGTTGTTGTGATGACAAGTTTTTGATCGGTCTATCATGATGATTGTAAAGGGTTTATATTATTATTATTACTTTTAAAAAATTTCTGAACTTGAGTTCTACTCGCGATTGAATTCGGCCATGTGATTTGAAAATTTGAGGTACAATCGTTTACCTGTGTGCTTTTTCTTACGAATTGAATGCTCAATTTGTGTGTCGATCGATTGGTGTGTGTTTCGATTCTAATTAGAAGTTGGTGAATTGCAGTTTTGGTATAAATGATTCGAACATAATTCCTCATAAAACTCATATTGCTTTTTTTTTTATCAGTCATGATTCTGTTTTTTGTCCAGATCCGATTCCAATTCCTCCTATTTAATTGATTGTATGCAATATCACACAAATTACACCCATATGATCCAATGCACTGTGCATATATTCACTCATAATCAGATCAGAATAACGATAATGTGTTTGTTTGTTTCAGGTCGATAAATTCCCGAAGCTTTACGTTTTAAATGAATACCACAAGTGAAGAAATTCGAGAAGATGGAAAGCAGAGAAGAAAGTCCATAGGTACTCCAAGCTCTATGAACGGCGGTCATGGTGGTGGTTTGACCGTTTCCGGCGGCAAAACCAGACGTTACTCCATCGGCATACCGAGTTCCCGAAAGAGCATTGAAGAAGAAGGTAACATCGTCCCTAATTATCTCAGAGCTTCAACTGGGTCATGTCACGATTTCTGTAAATATGGTAAGAAACATGAACAATCAAAGTCTTCAATCCCCATAAAGTTCAAAAGATCAACAGCTGTCAATAAAGAGAAAGTTATTACAACAACTGTAGCTCCAGTAGAAAGAAAGAAAGCAATTAAGCCTTTTCAAGATCCCAAAATTCAAACGCCTCTTGAATTAACCAAAAAGGATGTCTCAATCTCATTAACATCAAAAACGACACAAGTTTTGAAACGGGTTATGTCAGCAAACGGGAAACCTAAAGAGAAAGAGGTCAAATTGGGTCAACGGTCAACTTCTCTTGTGAAACGAAGTCCAGGGTCAAATGCGTCAAATGGAGAGGTGATTAAGAAGAAAGATATTAGAATTGTCAAAAAGACAGGGATTACCCCTAAAGCTGTTAAGAAAGATGTCGTGAAGGGTACTCCAGTTGAATCAAAATCCCCTAAAGTTTCTTCTTTGAGTAGGGCTACAAGTTTGAAGGTGATAAAACATAAGAGTGTTAAAAAGGTGTCTCCATTAAAGGATCAAAACATAATTCAAAAAATCGAGGTCAAGCAAATTGAAACAGAATCCGAGGCTAAAAGTGAGAATATTGAGTTCGATTACGTTCATGAAACTGTTGGAATCGTTGATTCTCCCTCATTTCCATCACTGGAATTGATGAATGATCCTGTTTCCATAAACGGGTTGGAAAAAGATTCGATGATCACACAATCAGTCTATGAAAGCTCCAAACTTGAAGATGATTCATCAATGGCAGAAGTCTTGGAAAAGCCCCAATCTTTTTCAGAAGTTGAAGAAAATTTGTTAATTGCGCCTCCTGTTTCTGAAAGCTCTCAATCTTATTATGATGACGAGGTTCTTGAAGATGAATCTGACTTCACTGATGAAGAGACTGAAAGTGATAGTGATAATGAGAAAGTAAACTCCACCGAAAATAAGATCTCAAGAAAGGGGAGAATGGTAATTTCTGAAGATAAAGATGATGAAGGGGTGAAGTTAAGGTTCAGAAGAGGAAAGATTCTTGATCTTCAATCTGAGAATAACGGACCTCGAAGGCTTAAATTCAGGAAAGGGAAAGTTATGGAGGGTAATGAAGAGAGACCACATGTTTCTAGAAGAAGTTTTGAAAAGAAACATGAAAAAGAAACAAACAATGATTCTATTTCTAATAATGGTCATGAAAACGTTGTTTTGAAGCATCAAGGTGATCAAGGAAAGAAAGATGCTCAAGGGTTGTTTAACAATGTCATTGAAGAAACAGCAAGTAAGCTTGTTGAAAGCAGAAAGAGTAAAGTGAAGGCATTGGTTGGAGCTTTTGAAACTGTAATCTCTCTTCAAGATGGAAAACCCTAATGAAAAATTACTGCTTGTTTAACTACTGAGGTAAGTGACTTTTGATGTTTTTTTTTCTCATTTTGTTTTTGAGGTTTGACTTGTGTATAAATAAAGGAAGTGACAATCTTATAACTTTACAAGTTTTATATGACTGTTTGGTTTGTCGAACAATGTTGACTTATAGTGAAATTATATCTATCTTTGTTTGTTCATTTAACTATATAAGTTTTCATTATGTTGAAGAATATTTGATTTATGTATGGTATTGAAATTCTAATTGTGCCAAATGCTCAAAATGTGTGATTGGAGTAGAAAATGAACATGGTAGTTATGTGGTTCAACAAGATGTTAATATCTACAATGTTGTTAGGTGTTATTGCATGTAATTCTTAAATTACAAAAGAAAGCGTTTAGTAGTGCGTGTAATTCTTAAATTACGAAAGAAAGCGTAGTCATTAACGATTACAAGTGTAGTCGTTAACAAATACAATACAACCTTTTTAACAGAATAGTTTTTAGACAAAAGTAGTATTCCCGTCTTCTTCGAGCCCATGTTGCAAGACAGTCACCACAATGATGGACATGATGACCGATGAAAATGCAATCTCTTGCATTTTCTCATTCCTATCGGATCAAAATATATACAATGGTTCACATCCTTATCTATGGAGAGTAATGACTACCTAGGAGATATTATAGTACTAGTTATTACAAGCAATAAGGATTTGATAATACAACATAATATTTATCATCTATAGTCTCATGCAGTCGAAGGAGAGGTGGATGGATGCTAAGACTATCTCAAAAATCATTGAATAATATTAATGGGAGACCCTTAGTATAAGCACCCACAATTTGATAACGAGACAGAACATGCAACACGAACTTCACCAGAAGCGACTTTTTCACAAACAAAGTTTATATTCATTTTGATATGTTTGGTGTGTTGATGTTGAAGTGGGTTTAGAGTAGGTAAATGACACTCAAATTGTCATAATAAACAATGGTGGTATTAATAAGAGGAAAATGGAGCTCAAGTAGGAGATTACATAACAAACAAGCTTCGGATAAACTATCTACGACACTGCGATACTTAGACCGAGATAGTTAGGTTGTCACTTAAAATACCAATAGATAAGGTTGCCACTAAAAACACACAACCTATGGTGGAGTTGTGATTGATTTGTAGTTGCAATACATAGGTGATAATGCCTTCCACACCATGAATAATATGTTTAAGAGCATACATGACATGTAGGTATTGTATATGCAGGCTATTTGTTGGACCTCATAGGAAACATTTTGTCTCATGAAGTGAGATATTGCAAAGTCCGACATAGCTATGACAACAGGTGGGTTTCGAATATGGGTTTGCAGAAGTAATGATGAGCTTACGCCTTGTTCCCGAGTTCTACTTAAGGAGGGATACGGAAATATACAGAGGGAAAGTGAGGGGCGTCGAAGGAAAATCGTGTTCCCGAGTTTCATTAATGGAATGAAAGTGAGGGAAGGGAAAGGATTTTAGAGCCATATTTTCCTTCCAAATTTTCCTCCCAAATTGGGTGGATTTGGGAAGAAAGTGAGGTGAATGAAAATTTTAGTTTTATTTTATTTTTCCTCCTAACTCCGGAACACAAAAACTTAAAATTTTTCTTTCATTTCCTTCAAACTCGGGAACACGGAATAATGAATATTTTCCTTCCCTTCTTTTCTTTTTGTTAAAAATTTTCTTCCCTTTCCTTTATGGCATACACACACACACAAAAAAAAAATAATAAAAAAAAATAAAAAAACTCGGGAACAAGGCGTTAGTGTTTAAGTTTATAGGGTTATGAGGTGGTTTACATGAAGTCATTCTAAGTCGGGAAATTATTTATTTTGCATATTATTTTTCATTAAGGAAAGACCACTCTCATGACGAGTGACTACATTGTTTAAAAAATAACCCAGTGATCCAAGGTCCTTCATGGTGAAAGCTCGAGCCATGAGAGACATGAGGGACTATAGAAGGTAGTGGGTGGACATGTTAAATATAATTTTATCCATATACAGAAAACAATATGTAACATCATTACCATGCCAATATATAAAAAGAGAATGGTCACATTCACTATGGATGAAGCTGGTTGTAAAGATGTAATCGGTGAAATACTTGTACCATGCACATGGGACGTGTTGTAGGTGATATAAGGACTTATTCAAAAGGAAAGCATTTTCAAGATGGGAGGAGTTTCGAAAATCCATAAGTTGATGCATGTAGATAGTTTTGTTCAAGTTATCGTTCAAGAACCCATTTTTAACATCTTGTTGAAAGACTGACCATGATTTTAGATAACACAAGGCTTAAAGTGGTATGTATCGTACTAGTTTGACAATCAAGCTAAAAGTCTCATTGCAATTTGAGCAAATCCTGATAATTTCTAAAATCGTTTTGAGCAAAATCCTCATGTTACAGCGGTGATTGTGACAACCCGAAAGATTTGGATCAAGCAAGGTCTAAATTGTAACCCTATTACAATAAAACCTTGAAAACCAAAAGGGCATAAGTGCATGTATATGGGTGTATACACTTTGGAAATCATATATAAGATAACATCATTATCAAGGCAAAACTAGACAAATAAATTGGAATAGGAATCATGGATTTTAAAATATTGTTTATTAGTATTTAGCCTAGTATCCCACCCACCCTAGAACAATTGAAAGTCATAAGTACATTGATTTATAAGCTAACATATATGTATTTAAATATGTGTAAATAAGCTTTGTGGAACCATGTTTAAATGCATCCTTGACAAGTCAACAAGATAGCACACAATAAGCATTACCTTTATGAATTACGGCCTAGAACTCCAATATGACAAGTTAGGACCGAAAATCCTTTCCATGAGGGACCCAAAACAAAAGCAAAGTACCTAGGACCGAAAACTACCCTAGTGGATCAATGTTTGGCCGTGAACACCTTTAGTGGGTCATGGTTTGGCCGTAAACACTCCTTAGTTGACCATATTTGGCCGTGAACCCATCCTAGAGCCATTAGGACCGAAATCCCCGAGGGATGGGGTGATTTCGGTCACAATAAAGTGTTCCCAAGAAGGTTACGGTCTAGAGGAGGAAACAGACAAAAATGGTTGACTCTAGGACTTGATATCTCACCTATTTCCAATGTAGTCCCAGTAAACCACGCATTATCCCACAAATATCCATACTATACCCTCCAGACTACCAAGCACATATCCCATCTTTCCTTTCACCCTTTACTTCGGCAGTAAACAAATACAAACCCCCACCATTTCCCTCATTCTCCAACTCCCCTCATTTTCTCTCTAATTATCCTCTCAAGAGCAAGAGTAAGGTTTTGCTAAAGGCTTAACTCTTCAAGCTTCCTTAGATTTTTGAGTAAGTATTTTCACAATCCCCTAGTGTTTATATATGATTATATGTTAGTTCCACCATTTTTACACACATATTTGTGTGTTAATATTGTTAGGATAATAATCATTCTTAGAAGTTCATCCACTCCACCCAAGTGCCAAGCTCGAAATCTTGTTATACTTGTTTCAAATCATCCACCAAACCAAACCAAGGTGAGTTCATACCCCCATATTTTCAAGCTTTTTCCATGTTTTTTTTTGGGGGGGGGGGGATACAAGTAAAACTTTGTTGATCCCACAAATAATTTCATGTTTTTCATCTTTATATTAAAGATAAAATATTATTTACATAAGTTATGGTTTATACTAGTTTTTGGTATAAATATCTGTGATTTACATATTGTTAAAACAAACATAATCTATGTTATAAAATCATAAGAAAAGTTATGATTTGTAAAACTACATGGCTTTTGGGAACTTATACTAAAAGATAACTTTACTAGCAGAAATGGTACATTATAGTCACTTACTAATCTAATGGGTTTTAACACCAAAATATTATGTTTTGATTTTATATTTTCATGCTAGAATACACCTTTATATTTATATAAAAGATTATATAAATAGTTTCAAACCAACAAGATAAACTATAATTGGTATAGTTTGTAAGTCACAAACCACACCTTTCGAATATACATATAATTATTTGAAGGTATAATTATCTTATTTTTCCAGTAAAAGGGGTCATAGTTCACGTAAATCTGTTAATGCTCTTATGAGACTTTCCTTCACCGTACCTACCTAGCGTACACCTTAATTCCTGCATTATAACCAGAGTCTCCTGGAGGGAGAGCGAGACCGTTGTGTATAGATCTATATGGTATTGACAACTCCACACCTCAGTTGTTCGCTACAGTTAGACCGACAAGTCTAGGGTGACAAAAGTCTACCAATTCCGATGCCTGAAGAACGTCGTTCAGGCATATCAGTCATATCAAGCGTGGTTATAAGCACTCACATAGGGATTAACAAAACTATTTGGTTTACGGGAAGCTTATACTTCATTAGTTTTATTAAAAGAAATGAAACTATATACTATTTTCTGTACAACATTCACTTCCATCTTGGTCTTAGGGTTTAAGACCACAGTTCACCTTTAAGAAAATACTGGATTTTCTGGAAATATACATTATTACTTTACAATGAAAAGATACAAAGGAATTACTTACAATTTCAGTTTATACTAAAGAAAATATTGGATTTTCTGGAAATATACATTATTACTTTACAAGGAAAAGATACAAATGAATTACTTACAATTTCAGTTTATACTAAAGAAAATATCGAATTTCTGGAAATATACATTATTTCTGGAAAATATCGGATTTCTGGAAATATACGAAACCATTTTTTCGCAAAAACAATTACAAATCCTTTTATGAAAAAATGCTTATGAACTCACCAACTTAATTGTTGACACTTTTCAAAATCACTTGTATTCCCAGGAAACCTGTAGACATGTACTCAACTCTCCTTGAGGTCCGGCGTCATCGTCTCATGTCTTTCTATTTTTTTTTCAGTTATTTATATCTAACTTTTGAACAAACAGAGTGTTGTAAACAATGTAAACTTGTGTTATCAATG